AACCGGATTTAGCATAAAAGTATCCTTTCAATCGAGAATCATCATCCCGCATATAAATATAGGGTATTTCCACCAAAAACGTCGAATGGGCCGATTCGTGGTCTTATGCGGACCCGTCCTTTAACTGATAATGCATTATCGAAACTTGCTGAGATTTTGATCAGAGGAAACTGAAAAGGGAGAATCCGAATTCAAGATCAATCTTCCGTTTCTGTACTATGCATCATACAGTACCGTCTCAGGGGTTTCGTGGTACTCGTAGAAGAATTTTATACATACCATCCTCTATATTCTGCCAGAAATTTAAACAGTCGGTCGTGGCGGACCAAAGGGACGCCGAGAGGGGTCCACGAGAAATTGAGTTTATCCCAGTTTACTTTTAGTCCCTTTAGATCTTTCAGTCCTTTTCGTCCCTCTATTGCAACAGCACTATGAAAATCACACTCTCGCCTTCACCCTCATTTCTATCAACCTTTTACCGTCACCCTCCAGATCCACCCTCACTAACAACCTGACCCTTACCACCAACCTTACCCTCACCATCAAAGATCTAAAGGGACTAAAAGGACTGAAGAATCTAAACGGTTTAAACGGACGAAAGGGACCAAAAGGAATAAAATGAACTACAGGAATTCAAGATCTAAAAGGCCTAGATGGAGTCAAAGACTTACAGGGCAGTTGATCACACTTAACGAAGCCGTGGGTTTTTTGATTCATTGGCAAAAAGTAAACTGGGATTTTGAAAAATTTCGTGGACCTATGCTTTCATGCTGCTTCGCGCGTATCACTGTGGATATTTGAGCAAAGAATTCATATGTACATTGAAACGTGGATAAGTAAAACGAGAGCTTGTTGCTCGTCTCTCTTCGAATACTATGCCTAACTCACGCACACCCGCCACATTATTGGGTCTACGAGCTGATTGTGATTAAAACATATGATCGAGTAAAATATTTTATTTGGTGAATGATTCAACTAGAGAAAACAACAAAGGTCTTCATGTTTCTTGTTGGCGGTTGGACAGATCTTTCAATTTTTTCATGTTTCTGCGCAAGGTTTGCACAGTCGGATCATTTTCAGGTAGTTCCTTTTGAGCAATTTTGAGGGCATCATCCCAACAAGAAGAAGCGTTGCGAATAGCACCCATCTTGGCATGGACAGAACCCATATTGGTATGCAGTACGAAAAACGCTCGAGAACCTTCGTGACAGTTCCGCGTGAAAATTTCGAGTGCTTTGTTTAGGAAAAAAGCGCTTCCTGGTAACGTTCAAGCTCGAAGTACATAGGACCCATGGATAATCGATACGAGTTGGACATACGGAGGTGCGTAAATGACTGGTTGCAGATCACGCACACTTGATATATGTATGAGTAATCGCTTCGTTTGGAAAAAGCCACATTTTCATCTCAAATACATTTTGCAAGGGAATATTCCTTGCAAAACACAAAGGTAAAACGTGTGTCGGAGTCTAGTCATTCATGCGTGAAAATCAAATCGCTATATATATACAAATAACGAAAAGAGTCAGACCTTGAGAGCAAACAAGCGACGTGTTATGATCTGTCCTCTGGTTAGATCATACACCTGCGCCATCAACAGTCTGTTATCGTGTCTTCTCCTTCCTTCTCACTCACTCTCTCACTCTCTGCTTCCAAGTGTTCGTACTATCTTTGTGTTCATGTTCTCTCTTTCGCCTCTCGCCTATATGTATGCTCGTAACGGGTGGCCCATAAATAATGGCGGTCTCGATATTTTGATGATATCTCGCTTATACTTCATCACTCCGATCTCGTTTATATACCATTAGATGCGCGATGAAAATCTCTACGAAACTGCAGAAGAACGGCTGTTACATATTTATAAGGGAAACAGAGACGGTACACATATCGAGAGGTACCAGAAGTATTAACTTTGAAGGTCGAAAGACAACTTTTTTGCCTTCTACGTTCTCTTGCTAGACAATATGACACATCAAACGATAGATTTTGTTGAGCTTTAAGAGATCTATCTGAATACTAATCCTTACGGTCTACCCTCAGGATTCTACAGCGAAAACTGAGCGCTGTGTTTTCCAGAATTCTGCAGAAAAGCATGTTCTTGTCCTGATTTTTAATAATGATTAGAAAAATCACGCAACTCAGTCAAATATCATCTTATGATATGAAATATCGTTTGCCGATACCCTGTCTAACCAGATTGAGCAGTTACTTTCTTTTTTACCTCAATTTCGAATGCTCCTCTCGACTTCAGTAATCAGCAGGCCTAGGTATGTCGTATGCGTACCAGTCGCTCATAAACCCATTCTTTTGTTGATATTCCCAGCTCAAATACGTTCTGTGATGTTTCGCCGAGAAGAATCTGTATGATTGCATCAGGAAAGGTACTTTAGAGCTCCAAGAAATTTTTTTCATGCGAGTAGAAAACCTAAATCCATGTGGAAAACAACGCTTTGAAATTTGGTGTTGCTAGTAACTCTCAGTATGTGTACCGTCTCTGTTTCCCTTCTAAGTATGTAACAGCCGTTCTCCTGCAGTTTCGTAAGCCCATTGGGCCCCGATTTTTTCTGATCAAATATTTGATTCCCTAGACTGAAAGGATAGGGTCTGTCAAACGGTAAATATGTATTTTGTCCGTGTGTCTGTCTATCTGTTTGTCTGTAACCCGTTTTAAAAATCACAGTGGAATTTGTTGTCGGTTGATAGAGGGTGTACGTTTTTATTGCGTCAGATGAAGAAGAATCTCTCTTTGTCTCTTGCTTAATCACTTTGGCGCCTTTTCGCTCTCTTGCTCGTTCGAATATCGACTGCTGTGACTCATTGGTCTTCACTGCCTATCTGCCTGTGCAAAATACGGTTTTGAAACCTCAATCCATCGCTTGGTTGATTGTTCGTTTTATTTCAATAGGTGCAAGGTGTTTCATCGTCTTTATGTGTTGCCAACTGCGTGTTTTCATGTCTCATAACGTGCGAAGAAGCTATCTCAGTCGTAACAGCAGGGTTGGACAGTGCGTGCTGAAGTAAATCGTTTGAGAGAGGAAATCCCTCACTGCATATATATCCATGTGAAATCAAACCTATGCTGTTATATTTTTCTCTATGAGCTTTCTCTACCTTCAGGTGCTATCAGTCCTTTTAGCCCCTTCACTGTTTTTGAAGCCTGATCATGAGGCTTGAATTGAGGGTGAGGGTGAAAGGGTGCGAGTGAATGGAAGAGTGTGAGGGTCAGGCTGTGATTGAGGGTACATAAGAAAGGGTGATGGCTAAAGCGCTGATGCATCGCAGAGAGTGAAGAAACTTAAGGAAGCGAAATAATCAGGGACTTAAGGGAGTAAAACGACTACAGATGCTGAAAGGACTGAGAGGACCGAAAGATCTAAAGGGGTTTTAAAGGATTGGGAGGGCTAAAGGTACTAAAAGTGCTAAAAGGATTTACGGCACTGCCAGGAGTATCATCAGACCCTAGGTGTCTAGATATAATCACATAAAAGTAAACTGGGATAAACTATATTTCTCATCGACCCCTCTCACACTAATCCCGCAAAGAGTGATGAAAGAGCAGACGAGTTTGCATTTATTTTGCAACTCATTGACATGGTTGCGTCACAAAGGACAATTTTTTGCCAGAATTAGAGCTAAAGTTAGTCAAAGTGCGAATAAAGACGAGGAGAATGTACTGCCAGTCATAACAAAAGTACAGAACAAAAGGGAGTATGGAACTTCAGTCTAGGGACGAGTAAATCGGAAGCCGATGAACGTTACTTGTCTTTAAAGAGAGGTGACGTAAGATTTTGAATAATCAGTAGAATACGATGAAACGCAGTTGCAAGTTTATTAACAGAGACGGAGATTTTTGACCTTTTAGAGGAACGGTCATTCTCAACCTAACGATAACAATGATGCTCGAAACCCTGGTGTTAGCTGGCAACGATGAACATGAACATAACCACAAACACGAACACAATCAGTAAATCAAAAACAAGAAAGAAAAACAGCATCTAGTCAACTGGAGGGTGAGGTTGAGGGGTTCATGTTCATGTTTGTCAGCTAACACTAGGGTTTCGAGCATTATTGTCATCGTTAGGTCGAGAATGACCGTTTTTCTAAAAGGTCAAAAATTTCCGTCTCTGTTAATAAACCTCCAACTGTGTTTCATCGTATTCTACTATTTTATCCTTGTCATAAGCCTATGCATATGATGGTTATTTGACTTCATGATGTCATAATATTCATCGAGCAGAACCTAGTTTTCTCTTAATTCATCTGGATTATTTTCAAAGGCAAAAACTAAACCATTCTATGACAAAAAGTCACAATTACAAAATGTTTTTCTTTGACGCGACAACAAACGAGTCCAGCGATCTTTCTTCTCGTTGATCACCGGACATTTTGGTTTTAAATATATGTCGTAAATTTAGGCCAATGTCGGACCGGCCTAGGTCATTCTAAGATCCAAGTTTGGACTAGTTCAAACTAGGATTAAGTTGAAATCTCTGATCAAAACTCACTTTCGACTCCGACTGTAATTGTCGATTTTGATGTGCTTATTCGGAAACTTCAGGGGAATGGGTATACTCCCTTCACAGATCATTGAGTTCTGAATGAAATGGTCTATTTAAAGAGTTATACGCAGTTTTCTGTAGATCCTGGATTCCAAGATACGAATGTTTATAACTTCCTAAATAGACCATGCCATTCAGAACTCAACGATCTGTGAATGAAGGATACCAATTTCGTTTCGCTGTAGTTGCCGAAAAAGCAAACCAAAATCGAAAACTATCGTCAGGGTCAAAGTTGTGTTTTGATCACAGATTTCGGCTTAATCCTAGTTTGCACCAGGCCAAACTCAGACCTTAGAATGGCATATGGCATATATGTGCAGTAGGCGCATACGCAGATAAACATATAAGCGTGCACATTCTTCTCTCGCTTTCTTGCTCTTCGTTTATCCTTTAGTATTTTTCTTTCGGTGAATCACTTGTAATGAGGAATATATATCGACACGTAGTCATTTATAACAGACACGTCGTTGAGATAGTTAGAAGCAAAGCACACTACAATTAAATAGGTCTTTGCATTTACCAAAACTACTGGTAGGAGTTGAAAACATTTTTCAGCACTGGGCCATATCAGCTATCCCAAAAAATCACTGGGCAATAAATTGTCAAGGACTGGGCAATTGCCCAATGGCCTCCCCCTGAATACGCCAATGTGATGAAGTATAAGCGAGATATCATCGAAATATCGAGACCGCCATTACCACCCGTTAGTTTTCTGTGTGTTGTGTGTGATTTCCTAGTTGTTGTTTTATCGAGTACACATACAGATCAGAAGAGTAAGATTCTCACACGACATGTAGTTTGCTCCTTCTCACTAATAGTATGAGCAAATGGCGCTCATCTGACGAATTTGCTGACCCTTTTCTGAGAGATTCTTCGCCTTTCAAGAGTGCGACAGTTACACCATCAACCTATCAAAACAATCAGATCACGAGAACTAGTTTAGTTCTGGTCCGTTATCCACAAATTCGACATGCGAACCAGGTC